TAAGTTCTACACATCAAAGAGTGGTGAAGGTAGCTGCCMTATTCCTCATATTCCCACAGAGTGGCTACTACTTACAATTTTTAAAGTAATTTCTTYTTCTCCAATAGTATGACAAAACCGAAAGACAAACCAAAGAGAAAAAAAAAAGCCTCCTAATATTTAATTGCTCAAAGGCTAACAGACCTAGAATCTGATTTTAAAACAATATCCAAATCAGGGAAAAAACTTAAAAGAACATTTTCCTACAAGATGCGAAGAGAAAGAATTGGGTAGATTTTATTTTTTAATAATTAATTTTACTGGTACAATTACCCTTTCCCCCTCCGCACACTTGTTAATCAGTGATGGAATCCCAGTTGTGGGAGGTCTAAAAGGTCAAATACATGCAGTTTTCAACTTCAAAGTGGGTATAATCACAAAGGCTTGTGAGGAAGGACTGGTGGACAATCAGTGAATCCAGAACCTGAGCCTAAGGCTGCAGCAGAGAGTGCTCTGGCTGCTCCAACTGCCCCATTTGCATTTAAAGCAGATAAACACATCCCARGGAGACCTGAAAACCAAGTCTGTGCAAAACAAGCTTACAATCCTTAAATATGATCTAGATGTCACAAACTATTACACTCTCATAAAAATAACATTTAGATCATTACAAACATACTCCTTAAATTCTGTCTCAACTAAGCAGTACATTTGTTTCAATGAGTTTAAACTCAATTAAAATAATTGCAATTTATACTACAACTTAAAAAAAACCCCAATCACAACATTCATCAGAGACTTTTAAATTAACATTTAACATCAGTTATGTCCTAAGCCTTATGTTTGGTATTTTATCCAGTTTGGTAATAATTTAATGWCTTATCTTCTACCAAAAAATTCCTAAAACTATAGAAAATACATAMAGATTTTTAAAATCAGTCAGAGTAAAGAAGTTGCTAAATTAGGCTTCCTTCAGATAATTAAATCTACAGAACCAAAGCACTGGAAGCAGAGGTTTCGTTACACTCCCCACTTCCTCGTTGCTGGCTGTCAGGCTTATGGGTATCAAAGAGACTTCAAAAAGCTAACCAATAAACAGAGAAAGTTTTGAAGTTTGMAACAATTCCTAAAATATTTGCCAGAATGTGATGAGCTTATGATATGCCTAATTAAAGTGATTTATTTATTCATTCACAAGGGAGTGACATAAAAAGCGCATTCTAACCAACTCGTCTTAAAAATTACAAATAACCCCAACTTCTCACTCAAGCTGTTGGCAGCTACAACCAGGAAAATAGAAGCATCAAAGGCAAATGTAAAATAAATTAGAAGCATTAACTGAGATCCTGATCACCTAATGCTTTGCACAATTTGAACTAAAGAGAAACTTGAGTAACAGCTTTCTGTTAAGTATAAGAACAACAGAAGAGGAAAACAAAACCAAATTCTGTACAAAAGCAGAAGACAAAAAAAAACTGAAATGGATCGAGGGTGTCAGAAGACCTTTTAGGCAGAATAAAAATAACAGCCATTACGAACAGCATGAACATCAAACAGATATTGCTCAGTTCCAWCAGGAACTCCCACCCTTGAAAAGAGAATTGGAATAGAAAACCAAGGCAAAGCCATAACTGTATCAGTCTCCGGATTTCTGTGAGTTCATCTGCACACCCGAGCAGATATTGACAGAGAAACTGCAACATTTTCTCCCCTTTTTTTAGAATAYGGAAGTAGTTGGAGAGAGTGTATGTCTACCATATCTATAATAATGGAGACACAGATATAGCAGACAATTGTTAGATTACGGTGTTATTCGTCTCTGTGACTCCTGGGCATTCAGGAAAAATACTTCAGGAGTTTTCAGAGTATGAAAGTAAGTTTCACAAAGAGSAAGAAGAAAAAAATCATCCATGTAYYGGTAAAGTTTTTTTACAGGCACAAAACTGAGTAGACTGTAGCGTAAATTCAGTAGTGAATTTAAAGGTTTTTGCCTTTGGTATTTTTGACGTTTTATCTTTCTCAAAATAAACATKCAAACCCACTTAAGATGCACATTCATTCTCTCTGAAACTATTTCCTCCTTGAGATTTTATCTCAGTAGAAATATGTTTACTGGCTGRAAGAGTAAAAGATTAAGCAACACACAAGTCCAGGAGGAAAAAGAGAGCACCCAAGCCTATGTATGAAGTTACAAATAGATGTCACTAAAATAAAAACTAAGCAATGCTTAAAGAGTCAAAGCAGTTTTGTTTAACTGACTGCTGATTTAGGGAGAAAAATGCACACCCAGAGGGGAAATACTTATCCTGTTATTATTAAACAAAGCATAGCAACATGCAGATACACACAAATACTTGAGTAGCCAATAAAAAGCACTTAAGAAACAAACTGAAGCAGCTTAGAAAGAAAACATAAATATAGAGGTAAGAGACAGATGGTGTTTACAATTAAAAACAGTAAACATTTAAGGTTTCAAGAAGTCATAAATTACCTTGAGAAGCAAACCCACAACTTTCTTCACAAAGGAATTGTTTTGTATCCTACCCATTTTCAAATACAGAGGTGACCCACAAATATAAAACCGGAGCTACAAATGTAGTACAAAGGACTTGTCCAAAGAATGATCAACTACATTGGTAAGGAAAAGCAAAGTAATTTTTAAGAGATAAGCTGAAGAGCAAAGAMACAATTTTGTTATAGAAAATCCATTAAAGGGTACTGTGTGTACTGAAGATTGAACTCAGATTTCACTGCTTTCAAGTACCTAARAATTTCCCCATGGCAGCAAATACCAGTAGAAGACATGTTGAAGAAAGAGATAATTACTTCCAGGATTAAGGTTAAAGAAAAACCCAAACAAAAACAAACCACACCACCTTTGTATGTAAATAGTGTATTTCACCAGTAATYAAAATTTATTTTTTTATCAATATTGCTCTAATCCCTGAGAAGTGTCATTTTATGAAGAAAAACATCCAAAAGTGCAGAACTGGTCATAAGTGAGAGGTAGCTCATTATCGACTCATGTTACACAGGATTTTCCAAGTCTGAACTATGTCTCCTGACTGAACCATAACATACTTGACCTGTATCTATCTGTCTCAAAATCTGACACAAAAAGATACAGCACATAAAAGCAAACAACACATTTGCAGTCTATAATTTAAGATATGGACACAAAGGAAGACTATTCATGCGATCAGTTTCCTCTTTGCTCACRTATTTCTGTATAGATTCCAGAATCCATACAGCACTCTTTCATATGATGAGCTAAAAAAAAATACTGCAGTAACCAAAAGATCCAATATACTTGTGCTTCAAAAGAGGTTAAACCCTCAGTTGTGCTGCAGTAAATTAAGAGGTCTTTGCTGTTAGGTGGACAGAAGTAGAATTGAAAAAGAAGGCAACAGTTCTAGTATTTATTTCTCTCCTCTTTAACATACCAAAACATTTGCTTAGTTTCTTGGAAATTTGTGTAGGATGGAGGAGCCTAATTACTGGTATTATAAACAAACACAACTTCTGGTATGAAAATAAAATCACTATCAGGAAAAAACCACCCAAAATATTTCTCAGGAAACGGAAGAATACTGAAAGAACCTCACTTGATCTGAAGTAATGGCTTTTTATCTCTGTTACAAATACAAATCTTTTTGCTGTTTATTAGTTCAGTAGACCATTGCTGCTTTCTCCAGCCTCCCTCTTTGCTATATCCAAGTGCTTTGACTCTTGCTTGTACACAAGCAAATGATTAGGAATCAGAAGACTTGTTTTTTTTACTCTTTTGTCATAACATTCAGAAAAACTACCAACTAACACAAAATCATTTTCACTGTTAGGCATCTGACCAGAYTGCCAAGAGAGGCTGAATACTTTCTTTGGAAGTTTTCTTGACCTGAAAACCCTTGACCTGGAAACCCTGGGCAACTCCATCTGAATTAAGTGTTGGATGTGTTTTCTGCAGGAATTTGTACCAGATGACCTTAGGAGGTCCTGAATTACTCTTATGAAAGTGCAGCCCTTAGCTCCTTCAGAAAGGCTTTCTACATAKCTCTAGAGCAGCACAGCAGCAGCTGTGCTGGCTACAATTCCAGATGATTACAATTCTCCTGTAATTTCATTTTTCTTCCCCGTTGCCTTTCTATATCCACCTATTGTTTCTTAAATCCCAGAAATCTTTGAAGTTTCCTTCTGTTCTTCATTTGCATCTCTGCCCTTTCAGTCCTGGATTTGTAGCCAAGGCTTCCAGAAATTACAATAGAAATAAAATTAAAACTAAAGTAAAAAACAAGAAAATGACTGAATATCAAGCTCCACTTAAAGGACTAAAAAGCAAAGATTCACTTGATGATAACAACACTTCTTAGTTTTCTCATAGTCAGGAAAAACAAATGGAAAGACTAAAACCTAATGCAATTCATCAAATAGATGTAGCAGGTCTATATATACATCCCCTACTATTGGAATGTGCTCATGAATGAAATTATTGTAGGAGAAGGTGAAAGAAAAAAAGCCCAACAAAATCAAATTTAATTTTTAAGAGACTAACTAGATTTATACTGCTGAGAAGAAGGAATCATTTGAAATCCCCAGTCTCCAGATGGTGCATTTGATGAGAGAAACAACCATTAGATTTTATTAAAGGAGAAGAGGAAAATCTTTTTGCTAAACTGAGTATTTATTTAATGCAGGTAYTTTCTTAGTTACTAGCTGCTCTTTGCTAGGATAAACACAGGCGTAACTCACCTACTAAACTCTCAGAATAACTTATGGTATATCCTTTACCTGACATACCAAGAYGGAAAAAGCAGCCAGAGCTGCCTGCCTCACTTTCCACTTGCCTATTTCTCACTGTCACACTGGTGTTTTTACTGCTTTTCTCCTATGATGAAGCTTGTTAGTAGTTCTGCAGGTGAGTTGTGGGCATTGGTCTGTGGTAACAGAACTGAAGGAGCAGAGTTGGGAGAGMCAATCTGAACAACATGAACTATTTTCCCCCCTCCAGTTCCAGGGTTTCTTACGAGGTCGCTTCGAGGAGCTTCCTGGTAGTCAGCGGCAAAGGAGGACATGGAGCTCCGGGCGCCGTTGCTGTCGGGGGCGTGTCGCGGGGGCTGCGCGTATTGCCTGTAGGTGGCACTCTTTGGAGTCCAGCGGAACAGGTTGATGGACTCACGAACACACCGCTCAATATCGATCTCTGGAAATCATTTAAAGAAAAAATAAGAAATGGGACAGGAAAATACAAGTAAAGCCAAGTAACCCAGCTATGACATTGCTAAATATACATATACCCATTTATACCTTTGTCTGTCTCTCTGTCCCTTGCTCAAACTGTAGCTTTCAAAAACATTTTCCCATTCAAAAAAAAAAAAAACCTCAGATTTTTTTCATTAAAACCGAGTAAAGACATTTTAAGAATTAATTCTCTCCCCAGTTATGTAAGAATGTCTGTTTAAGGGAAGAGTATCATAACTTTGCAAAGTCAGGACAATAATTGAAGCCAAGATATTGCGAGGCATCTTAAAGTCTTAACAAGTCAGACTATTGACTGTTTGATACAAGTTCATGCAGTTCACCAAAAGCAGATTTCACACAGTGTACAGACTTCAGAATTTTTTGATCAACTGTCTTATTTGTCAGTTAAATTCTGCTAAGAGCCAGACTCAAAACTTTCAGCTACCAAATTTTGTGTGGATTGCTGTTTTAACAAAGCTGTATGTTATCTCTTTGCTGGAAAAAGAGTTCTCAATATTAACTTGTGCTTGATGGCAAACATAATGAATTGCTTTAGAGATTTGTTCTAGAGGTTTTTTTAAACAAACAAACAAAGAAACAAAACGGTTCAAAATCCAACCAGAGATTCCCGGTTGAAAGTGTGAAGTGCTGTGTGACAAAATGTAACCCAACTTGAGAAGAAATCTAGCGCCTATCTAATGAGAAGCCTCCTAAAATAAGCTATGGTCCATCAAAAAGTAGGAAAGTTYAATGAAATACATTGGTACAAGAAAAGAAAATGTAAATCTATTAGAGATATATTTTTGGAAAACTAAGTATCCTGCATRTATCTATCTTCTAACACAATGCAAATAAAAGCCTTTTTTAATCACTATAAAAGGRCTGGTTAGTTTTGCATCTCATGTATGTGTTCTCATGAAGAGAAAAATGATGCTAGCTTGCATTTCATGACAAAACTGGTGTAGTGTAACAAAGAGCAGGGATATCAGCACTTCCTGTGTCTGTCCCAAGATTTTGTACAATTCATTCCAACACTTAAATTAAAGCATCAGCTTCTATGAAGAAAACAGAGGCACTGCAGCCAGGCTTTATCTGTATATCTCACAGAGATTTGATGTGCTGCCTTCAATCACYCATTGCCATCAGCAGATTTGATGCCTGGCCATCAATGTGGGAGTTTCTCCAGAAATCTTAGTTACTGAGGGTGGTGAGCGGAAGCAGTTGAAATTGAAGTTTRGAGCAGAATAATCTAGTTGGATGAGATTATTGACTTTATTTAAAATCTGAAAGATGTGGTCTATTATTCTTCCACTCAAAAAGTTGTCCATATTCAGGCAGGATACAATCTGCAGCAGAAGCTTTAATTCCATCGATRATAACATGCTTATGTGCTATCTTGGTTCTAAACTTCTGAAAGGTCTGAGAGTAAAGCTGGGGTTTACCCAATTTTAATTCTAGCTCTAAAATATTTCACTAGTTATTATTCCTAAAGCTCAAAAAACACCCTAAAGCACTTTCATCACACTTGCACATTTTTCTAAATTTCTGAAAACTCATTTTATTGATAAAAAGTTGAGAATTTCAGTTCAAGACCGTAGTACATTTACAGTGAGGCTGTAGTTTTGGGGTTTTTTATTTTTTTTTTGTAAAGAGACTGCTGTAATTGAGTTATAAGCCCCATTTCCTGAGATTTTTTGCTAGGGAAACATTAGTAGTACTTCTGTAATAAATGATATGAATGGAGAATTTAGCCAGTAAAAAACATAAATCTGAACAACAATAATTAATAGCATGAGAAGCATTTGGCTGTGAGAGGGCATAATAGCCTACAKATATCTGAAATTGAAAACAGACAACTGGGGGATGGAATAGGAACACTATTTGCAATAAAGCTATAAAMAAGCTGAAAGCAGAAATTGAGACTGACCATGTTAAACATTGAAACAGGTCAAAATATTTTTCCTAGAAACAAGCTGTGTAATTCCAAAAGTAATCCATTTTAGAGAAAAGGAAGATGCAGCAATAGGCTGGGCACTGGAACAAGCTCCCCAGGGAAGTGGTCACAGCCCCAAAGTTGACAGAGTTCAAAAAGTATTTGGACAATACTCTCTGGCATATGATGACTCTTGGTGTGTCCTGTGCAGGGCAAGGAGCTGGACTCAACRATCCTTGTGGTCCCTTCCAACTCAGCTTATTCTGTGTGTGTGTATAAAAACAATAACCAGTTCTCACACATCAGGATGTAAGTAAAAAATGTAGGAGTCTGCTACTCTGTGGTTTTTGACTTTTTGGTTTCTCATGTCTTCTATGCAGCATTTCAGAAGGACAGTGGCCATGGCTGAAATGAAACTTCACAGAACAAGAGAGAATTTTTGTGGGGAAAGCCATCAAAAGCCTAAAACAAATTTACAGTCTGTCAATTAATTGATCTGCTTCAAAATAATGCAAAATAAAAACTACAGCAAAGTGATTGTGGTTTCCACAAGTAACAATAAAAAATCTCAACAACCACAAAATGCCCCCCAAACTAAGTGTAAACCATAGGCACATGYGTGCATATATGTGGGAACAGTCAACATTTAGAACCTACATGGGAAACAAGAYTATTGGTGGTGAAAGAATTTACTCAAAGAATTAACTAACATTATTTAAAAAAAAAAAAAATTACTTTCAGGATACTGGAGTTTAGGACTACATTAAACTGGTACAAATATTTACAGAATATTTATTAGTCACATTGCATGAAYAGGCTTTACACTTGAGCAACCTTCAAGCCCATCTTCATCATTTGTTTGCAATTTCAGTTTAAGAAAAATCACTTCCTGTCAGTAACTAAACTGAAATGCAATCTCTTGCAGCCTTGCTGGATAAGATMTTTTCTCCTCTTTTTGGCTAATAAGTAAGGGTCTGCTGCGCTACTTCAATCCCAGCTCCTTCCCGTGCCCTTTCAAATATATGACAGATGAGTCAGTCTCTGGTGAAATGTCCATCTTTTGTTATCTCCCCAAGACTTTGCATTCACACAGTATTAATTTTGCCTGTGCTCTTCCTGCTCCCAAGTCACTGGATTACAAGCCAGAAAACATTAAGCACTTCTACATGATTAGAAACACACCACTGATATGTCAGAAGCATAAACATATCCAGTCAGAGCCTAGATTCTTGAACAGGACTGTGGACAAATGAACAGTGACTACCTCAGCAGAATGACAGAATACTTGACATGTACAAACAAATTAGAAGAGCTCCCTTCTGAGAGCAGGCTCTGCATAATGCTCYGGGTGTGAGCAAGAAGCGAACAGTAACATTTAAAAAGGATGAAGAAGGCATGCTCACTAATGGAGACGTGCACATAACATCTCTATGCTCTCCAGGAACACAGTACTGGGATATTTGGTAGTTTACAAATGATGTGCCTTCTGTTTTTATTAATAAAAATTATTTCATTGGAATATCTGCAATGAAAACATGCTGGTGTAACACGGTATTATTAAATGAGAAGTGCGAAAAAATTTAAGCCTGACTTAAAACGCAAGACAAATACTAGCAAAATAAGTTATCATTTCAAAACTTGGTACATCTTTAAGCTGTCTGCTTTTGGAAAACTGCAAGAGTGCCTGTATTTCAAGCAGTCAAAGCTGGAACCCAAGTACCTTAGGAACCAAAGTCACAAGTTTCATTTTCAAACATTATAAGTTCTGGCTCAAATGAGCTCAAGGATTTCAGTCAAGCAGCAATCAAGCCTTACAGGAAACAATTCTATGGCACCAGCTAATCGCTCAGAATCAAAAGGTTTTTACTGACATTTCCAAATCTGCAAATAATACAATAATACAGCAATTGACAAAGGCAGGGGTAGGGAAGCAAAGGAAAAGTGATCTAACAGTAATATTTTGTTTTTGCTATGTCCCCCTCCTAACACTAAGTCTACTGAAATGTTTTGTTCCTTTTCTGAACTAAACTTATGTTCATTCAAAGATGCTCCTTATATTGCTTTGCTCATGCGAAACTATAACATCTTACTAAGCTGCTGCCTCCCTCTATTTACAGCCTCAACTGAAAAGGATGGCTCAGCCCAACATAGCTGCTTTTTAARCTATGTACATTTAAGGTTTGTTATCATAGATGCAGGAGAGAAGTAGATTGCACTTGAAACAGATGTTCAAAAAAGGATCAGCTGCAATGCAATACACCTGTGACAAAAGCACATAGCATTTTTTATTTTTGCAGAATAACTGGATGCACATGTTGTTCACAGCAAGTGAAGACAAGTAATGGAGAAAACCAGAARATGAATGGCTCTTTCCTAATGAAAATCTACACAGACCACGTCCTTGTGTACAGTTAATCAGTTCCAGAGTCTTTTCCTTGGGTAACAGGATACCAGTTAAGAAATTCAGCCAAAATAAACTGCTTCTGCATTTTGGGAATAGCCCAGAATTACGAGCTTGGTTTGACAACTCCATCACAAACACTTTATTGCKACCCTGCCAGGCAACATCAGCTTTCACCACACAGCCACATAAATAGGCCAGAAAATCTCTGTGCTATGAAAGCTCTGGAGCTGAATAGGTCAGTCAGTTCAACCTCCTGATTCCTGCTCTTAGAAGAAATAGATGTGAAAGGACATAATTTTTTTTTCCTGATGACATACAAAAAGACACACTGAGTCTGCATATTTAAAAGGACAAATCTGGGAAGAGGAGTGACATTTCTATCCAACATGTCTGCATCTATTACTGTAAGAAKGTTATTATGAATGAAAAGGTCAATGCAGAACTATTCTTTTTACATTATTTATTTCATACATTACAGGATAGTTGCATTACTTCATATTTTCATGGAAGCAGTAGAGAGAAGCAACAATAAACACTATGAATTATTCCCTAGACATTAGACTGCATAAAGGGCAAACATGGGTTCTTTTCTTCCTTATGATTGTAAAAATTCCTCTGACTCAGC